GGAAGCATCCAACTGTTTTGAAGTACAGGAAGGTTGAGTGTAAATCCCCAAACTTTCTGCTGGAACCCATTTGACCTCTCTTGGATGGCTAGGGCTGAGCTGACCAGAACCTGACCAGATGAAGATAAAGATGTTTGATACTGTGAGCAAGTGTCAGCTACTACAATGTGATGAACTGGACTTTTGGTTATGAATGCAGTTACTCAACATTCCAATTGGAATGCAATATTCTTCATATCAAGGAACACAGTTCTCTCCTCAGTGTATTGAGTGATTGTTGTGGTTACATGCCACTGAGTTGGTTCCAACCCATAGCGACCCTGTATAGGGTTTCCAAGGAACAGCTGGTTAGCTTGAACCAACAACTTTGTGGTTCAAACCAACTTCGCAGTTTAGTGCATTAACCTACAGTGCCACACCAGAACAGGACAGGTAATTTTGTTGTAGCAACTTGAGAGACACAAGAAACCAAATGGCACTCAGAGTGGTGGAGGAGAACAGATTTATTTGGCTAGCCGATCCAGACAGGCCTATGGGTCTCTAAGTTTGGGCCCCATTTCTCTTTGTTCATGAGTTTTTATACCAGTGTTTTTCCAGGGGAGGGAGAGTGAGAAAAGTCTCACAGATGACAGACAGAGTAGTGGGATTCACAGGTGGAAGCCTAGGTCAGTTAGATAAGGATGTACCTGGGGTGTTAGTTTCTTTGTTGCATCTGTAGGCTATAAAAATTCCTTCTCCCCATCCTCCTCCACTTCTTGCCTTCTTCAATTTAGACATTGTTATTGTTAAGTGCCATCAAGTCTGTTCTGACCCATAGCGACCCTGAACAGGGTTTCTGACGCTGTCAATCTTTATGGGAGCAGAAAGCCTCATCTTTCTCCCGTGAAGCAGCTGGTAGTTTCAAACTGCTGACCTTGTAGTTCACAGCCCGATTCATAACCACTATGCTACCAGAGCTCATTAATTTAGATATTCGTTATCTAAAAAAAGCAGCAGGGAACTATAAAGGCATAAAGTGACTGGCTTGCAAGTTATCATGGATGTGCTGAGTTTTAGAATGAGGGAACAAATGAGAATCCCCACTGACTAGTATTCCTGTTTTCCAGGTGGGTCTGGTGAAAGGGGATAGAGGATGGTGCTGATAGGATTTTATGATTTTGCTTGTGAGTAATTGTTAGTAGGATCAGTGAATGTCAAAACTGTAATTGAAGAAGATGTGTAACTAAAAGGGGGGAGTTTTTATGTTTCATTTCAGGAACAGATGGTGAGAAATGGCTGTGGGTGACCCATCTTCAGTAAGGAAATCTTGGGTGCAGCAAGTTGGCATGGCAAAAGGGAACTCTGAGAAGAGGAAGGGACTAGTTTGACCTGCTAGACTCTTTTAAAAACAAGAACACACCCATCAAAGAAGTAGGGGAAGTTCATGGGGAGGGGATGAAACTAACTTTAAGTGAGAATGTTCCCTGTAGGGGCTAGTAGGCAACATTCAGGAAAGATTGTAAACTCCAAAGTACCCTGTAAAGGGGAAATGGAGGAGGGGCTTTTTGCGAGTTGTTGTTGTTAAGTGTTATCAAGTTGGTTCCGACCCCTAGCAACCCTGTACAGGGTTTCCAAGGCTGCTGTAAATCTTTACGGGAGCAGAAAGCCTCATCTTTCTCCCGTGGATCGGCTGGTAGTTTCAAACTGCTGACCTTAAGTTAAGGTTCACAGCCCAATTCGTAACCACTATGCTACCAGAACTCCTTTTCCAAGTTAAGGTTAATAAAACTCTTTGTCAAATAGCCATGCGGCATGTCTGCCCTTGTCTATGGGGCTGGGCACCTGATTTTGCAAAATTGAATAAAGAAAACCTCAGTCTTGCTAAAATGAGTGCAGACTGGATTACTTGAGCATTTGTCAGCACAAACAACGTTTCTCACAAGATGATTCCAGGACCATCTTTAAGGAAGAGCAGGAGTGGAGCGTGGACTCCCTCTTCAATTTCTCATTGCTAACATGTGGTTATAAGATTAAAAATGGCCAATATCAGTACATGTATTTACTCATGCCTAGGATATCACTGTTTATGCCTTCCATTTCATTTTTGACAACATCCGGTTTCCCTAGATTCATACTTCATATTTTCCATGTTCTGATTATTAATGATGGATGTTTGCAGCTGTTTTCTCCTTGTTTTGAGTTGTGCCCCATCAGCAAATGAAGGTCCTGAAAGCTTTACTCCCTTCACATCATCAGGGTCAGCTTTACTTTGAGGAGGCAGCTCTTCCCCAGTCAGGGCTCATCTTCTAGCACTCTATCTCACAATATTCTGGTGTTCTTCATCATGTTTCCATATTCAATATTCTGGTGCTATCTGACAATGTTCCACTGCTATTCATAAGGTTTTCAGTAGCTAAACATTTGGAAATAATCTGTCTTAATTTAGAAGCTCAGCTGAAATGTGTCTACCATGAGTGGCCCTGCTGATAATTAAAATACCAACGGCATAGATTCCGGCATTACAGCAACACACAAGTACCACAGTACAATAAACTGACAGAAGACTGGTAGTGATATTTTTTAGAAACTTCAAAACACCAATTAGAAAATGCCTCCTTTGGAGCTTATTTAATATCAGATCCTTTGGTTTCCAACTTACTAAGCAGAAAGGTGAGTTTACCTAGATCAAAACTACCCAAACAGGCTACTGATCTTGTTAAGTGCTTGCCCTACCCGCTGTGTGAAACAGCACTGGGGTTGTAATGCTTACACGTGTAAGCCAGTGGGATACTTGAGGGAGGTGCAGCTTGTTTTCCTTTGATGCACAGAAGTCAGTGTGTTTAGTTGATTAGCATTGTTGTTTTTTACTAGCATTGTTATTATACTAAAGAAAAGTAACAAAACCCGAACGTTTAGCTGCATTTACAACTATTGGCCACTAGATGTCAGTCCAGTCAAACCTCACATGGCTTGGTTGTCCTACCCAGCAAATAGGCTGAAAGCAAATAGTAAAGGACTTTCTAATAAATTTGGACCTCAAAGAACCATCAAAAACTCAACTACACAGAGACCCGGAATTAAAGAGCGTTCACCTGGGATAGCCTCCGAGAGTCTAGGAGACAGCTGAGCTCAAAGGAGTCAGTATTGATGGTGCTGGATCTAGTCGCTTTCCAATGTTGATGCCAGTGGGACGGACTCCTTCAAATCCTTCTTAGGATGCCTAAAATATTTCGGAGGAAAAACTCTGATCAGTGTTGGAATTTAAAACAGAGATTTATTAAGAACAAGATGTAGTGTAAACTGGGGAGACAATAACCACACAACATGAAACCAAAGAATCCATAATAGTGAAGCAGTAGACACACGTTTAATGGGTTAGAGCAAAGAAACTGACATAAATTATTTTGATTGTAGGTCAGCATCAGAACAAGTTTGCTCAAAGTACATATGTGTCATTTTTCTGTAGTCAAGTGCCACCATTTACTTGTGTTTATTCACTATAAGATGAGGATTTGTGCTTATTGAAAGACATCTGCTGTGACACACTGCATTTGAATTGCTGAGTTGGCAAAGAATAGTGAATGTATCATGGACTGCCAGAAGAAAAAACAAATCAGTCTTAGAAAAAATACAACCAATATGTTCCTTTGAAGTCCGGATGGTGACACTTCAGCTCGCCTACTTTGAATTAATCATCAGGAAAGGCCAATGGCTACAAAACGACCTCATGTTTCATAAAGCGAGGGGTTAGTGGCAAAGCAGGAAACGCTTCATGAGATGGGTTGACAAAAGATGGTGCCAGGCTGGGCAATTTTTTGTTGTTATATATATAAAGTTTGGGTCTTGGTGTGAAGCTGTGGGATAAGCATTGGATTGCTAAGCACAAGGTCAGCAGTTCAAACCTACCAGCAGGTGCTTGGAGACCCTATATAGGGTCGCTATGAGTCAGAACCCTCTCAACAGCACTTAACAACAACATAGATGAGGCTGCTATGTGTCAGAGGCATCCCATCAACTACTAACCAAAAGGCTGGAAGTTCAAACCCATGAAAGACAGGCAATCTGCTTCTGAAAGGTCACAGCCTTGAAACCCCATGGGACAGTTCTATTCTGTACTTGTGGGGTTGCCGTGAGCTGACATCAGCTTGACTGAAACTAACAGCAACCATGTACAACTAACAAGATTTGAATACACGTGGGGTCACCTGGAGTTGGTGTCAACTCATTAGCAACTTTTACTTTTGGTATCACACACATTAGAGTTGGCTCCTTCAGGATGGAGAAAGGAAAATGGGAAGAAAAAAGGGAGAGGGGAGAAAAGGGAAGAGGTGCTTACAATTACCTAGGATAGCAGTCTACCTGGAACTTGTTATTGCTCTGTGCCTTCAAGTTCACTTTAATTCCTACATTACCTATATGACAGATGAGATCTGTCCTATAGGGTTTCCTAGCTGAAATCTTTTCAGGAGCCTGTCACCAGCTCTTTTCTCCCAGAACAGCTAGGTTCAAACTGCTGGCCTTTTGATTAGTAGGTGAGTGCCTGGCCACTGTACCACCAGGGTTCCGTATCACAGACTAAGGGCTGTGATCTATTAAACTCTGCACATGAGGTCCAAAATGAAAGAGAAGTAATTGCATAATCACTTCTAACTAGAACCCATTGTTCCATTGTTTCAATACACTGCTGTGGGTATAATGAAATGTAAAATAAATCGAATGGACTTTAGACATGAACTTGTACAGGGTGCTCCTATCGGACACAGGTTATCTAAATTAAAATAAGGACCATCTGATTTTTAATAGATGATTATTTATTGAAGCCACTAAATGCAAAAAAGTGAAAACTTAAGGTGTGTGATCCTGGTATCAGTTATCCATACTTGCACATTCCTGTAGTTGGTATGCATATTAGCAAGCTTTGCTAAAGATATTTAGTGCAGTAAATGATGATAAGCTTTCTCTGTGGAACTGCAAAGAAATTAAACTAAATCCATCTTCTTGGGGAAAGAGATGCAACACATTTAAATGCTTTTCTCCTTGTCTATCTCTTTCTCCAGGTTGCCAATCTCCAAGGACAGTTTATACAACTCCAGGGCCACTTTTGAGTCCTGGGAATTTGGGAGGCACTGTAAGACATTTTGGCATGACAGGAGTATCTCAGGAACCCCAGGAACTTCCTGAAAGAGAAAATCAAAAGAGTGATTTCTGAAAATCTTCCCTACCTTGTGAAGGGCTGTACTTCTTTCTGGAAGCCTTATAATAGCACTGAAGATGAGGAGGGGCCCCAGACTAAAAGGCAAGCAGGAACTTCAGAAAAATCTTAGGATCTTAGCAAAGTAGTTCTTAGGTAATAATCAATATCAGCTGAAGCAGAGAGAGAGTCACATTGCAAAATAATCCCCAAACCTTAAAGAACTGCTGGCTTTTCAGCTCTGCTGATAAACAAGCAATTGAGGGTGGGTGGGTGGAATGCAACATATATTTCTGCAATTAAGGTTAAGGGTGGAACCTGAGGAGCTGCTAATGGTTAACAGTTGGTTGCTAACCGAAACACTGGTGATTCAAGTCTTACTCAATGGAACTTCAGAAAAACCAGCCATTTAAAATCCTGAGGCACACACTTTTTTCTAATGCACACAGGGTCTCCATGCATCAAAATTCCTCATTCATGGAGCAGGCCGTTTCCTTATCCTTTATCTTGAAACATCATCTGACACAAAATGCATAGAATGAGAGTTATTTACCCTTTCACACTTGGGCACATTCGGGGTCCAAGATTTGTTCTCTGAGCAAGAGATGTGCTGGGAGCCGACCATCCGGTAGCCAGGGTCACACTGGATGACAACAGTGTCAGGGTTGACATACTGATCCTTCTCCACAGACAGCTTTCCATTTGGGATGTCTGGCTTTAGGCACAGAGCTGTAATCAAATCGCAGTTTCTTAGCATCCTGTGTAGCTTAGAAAAAAGTGCATTTTAGCAATGTTAAGTAGTAAAAGGGACAAGCAATGCTGTTGTCTCCTACTGTTTCTGTCCACATTCCTATTGCCAGTTCTAGCAGCAGTATACTTCCACCAACATGATCCCTGGTGGATATTCACTCAACACTTGCTATACTTATATACCTGCATACGTTAGAAACACATCACATGCATTATTACATGTGAGCTTTTTAACACCCTGCATGGGAGGTCTGTGGTTATCCACATAGTACAGTTGAGCAAACTGAGGACAGAGAGGCTAAATATATTTCTCCAAATCACATAGCTTTTAAGTGGCCGAGACAGAGTACGAACCCAGGGGTGTCTCATTCCATATTCTGAGTTCTTTATTTCTATACTCTAGGGCCTCTCCCATCACATCAGCTTGCTCATGATTAAAACATAAACAGCAACAGAACTTAGCTACCGGAATTGTTCTGAGTAAAATGATGTAGAAACACTTTACTTATTCTGCCTTAACACAATAGGAAGGTCAAGTGTCTCAAGAAAGGTGGTGATCTGCATCAGACCAAAGAGTGCTATTTCTTGGGTATTTGACTCCACTTAGGTTCTAGCACTTATCCATGGCAACACAGGAGACATCTCTGAACTCCTTCACAGTGGGGTCTACCTACTTACCAATATAATGCCCCCAGAGCTTGAGTTACCTTTACACTGAGGAGCTGGAGAAAACCATCTTGAAAATCGGCAGGAGATTTTAGCAGCACCAACCAAAACGTATCCTTCTTCGCATTCGTACTCCACCTCAGTAGTGATGAAGGACATGACTCCACTAACATCTTTATAGTGGCCATGTGTGATTCTAGGAGGACTGCTGCAACCTTGGATGGTGAGAGAGAAAGAGAGAGATGAGAGACTTTTTCTGACTCATTACAGAAATAGCACAGAATTAAGAGGATTCATTGCAAGACTTTTATCCTTCTTAGTCCCCTCCACTGCTGGTCATCTTAACCTATAATTCACAAAATGGAGGGGAACCCCTCACATTACTCTGTGGAGGAGCATTAAGAACAAGTGTGTGTGTGTGTTTGAGGGAGGGAGAATTTAATTCTCAGCTTGTATTGTTATCATGTTATTAAATGCTGTCCAGTCAATTCTGACTCCACAGCACTTAATAACATAATAACAAATGTTTATATACACAGTTGTTATGTTATTATATAACATAGTGACCCTGTATAGGTTTTCCAAGGAACCCAAGGAGCAGCTGGTGAGCTTTAACTGCTGGCCTTGCTGCTCAAGCCGACTTTGCAGTCTAGTGCATTAACTAACAACGCCACACCAGGACTCTTCAGCTTCTATTGTTCTTGTTGTTAAGTGCCGTTCAGTCGGTTCGACCCATAGCGACCCTGTATAGGGTTTCTGAGGAGCAACTGGTGAGCTTGAACCGCCAACCTTGCAGTTTAAACGGCTTCTATAGAACTATTTAAGGAGCTCAGGTAGCGTAGTCGTTATGAATCTGTCTGCTAATCTCATGGTCAGCAGTTCGAATTCGAAACTACCAGCTGTTTCATGGGAGAAAGATGAGGCTTTCTGCTCCTATAAAGATTTATAGCTTTGGAAACCCTGTACAGGGTTGCTGTGAGTCAGAACGGACTCAAAGGCACTTAACAACAACAATAGAACTATTTAAATAAATAATTTCCTTTGTGTGCCTGTATACACACATTTGTGTAAGTTGACTACTGTGTTAGTTAGGCATTATCTTAAGCACTTTACAAATATTAGCTTGTTAGAGTACCCCAAGCAACCCTAGGAAGTAGTCATTGTTATTATCCCTATTGACAAATGAGGAAAGAAGCACAGAGAGGTTAAGTACTTAGTCCAAGGTCACACAGCTAGTGAGGAGCTGAATCAGATTTTGAACCCATGTGGTCTTGTTTGGTCCAGTTTATGCTATTAGAAATATGCTGCTTTGGCTAAAAGTATATGTTACTTAGGGATAGTATAAGACCTTTGGATAATAAAGCTTAAAGTCAGCAATTGTTGTTGTTGTTGTTAGGTGCCATCAAGTCGGTAACGACCCATAGAGACCTTGTGCACAGCAGAACGAAACACTGCCCGATCCTGGGCCAACCTCACTACTGTTGCCATGCTTGAGTCCATCGATGCTGCCACTTGGCCAATCCATCTCATTGGGGGTCTTCCTCTTTTTCTCTGACCCTTCACCTTACCAAACATGATATCCTTTTCCAGTGACTGGTCCCTCCTGACAATATGTCTGAAGTATGAGAGACGAACTTTGGCCATCCTGGCCTCCAAGGAACACTCTGGCTGCACTTCTTCTAAAACGGATATGTTGGTTCTTTTGGCAGCCCATGGCACTTTCAATATTCTCCTCCAACACCATAACTAAAATGCATCAATTCTCTACAGTCTTCCTTATTCACTGTCCAGGTTTCGCATGCATGTGAGTTTCTTGAAAATAACATGGCTTGGGTCAGGCGCACCTTAGTCCTCAAAGCAGATTTGCCTAATGCAATACGTCATTTGATTTCTTGACTGCTGCTTCCATGAGTGCTGTAGTTGGTACAAGAAGAATGAAGTCCTTGACAACTTCAATCTTTTCCCCATTGATAAGAATGTGAGCAATAAAGGACTTTTTTTTGGTTTGGTTTTGACTGGAGTTACTCAAAAAGCATTTGTGATAAACAGACATCAGTCTGTGAAAAGTAGTAAAGAATTTGTGTAAATTCAGAATCCTCAAGCACCTCCTCACTCTCTAACCGAAAGAATACCATCATGTTTTGACTCACTTATTAAAAGGGATCTTGGGGAAACAGTAAAAATCAGTGACTTGAATAATGAATGAAATAGAAGTACTTTGTATTCAAAGTCATTATACTAGGATTAATAAATTCTTGTTTGAGAATTTAATTAAAAAATTTAACACATTGGTAAATGCAGATCATTTTTAAGGGATTTTAGGAACTATTTCTTATTAGGGTAGAAATAGGATCCTATAAATAAAACATTAAAACCTTATAGTGGCCCACAAGTATTTAGAGAAATGTTTCCTGTTCATTTCTCACTGAAAACACACTCACAGAGAACCACATGTTTCTGCACCACAACTTTAAAAAACAAAATCTTTTTAATACATCTTATTTTTTATAACAACTTAAAGTTTACAGAAAAATATGCAGAAAGTACAGTTCCATATTACTATCCACCCCTGTGCTGCATAAGATTCTCCTACTATGACAATCTTGTATTAGTGTGTATAGTACATTTGTTAGGATTGCTGACTATTAAGATATTATTAGTAGCTAAAGGCCAAGGAGCTCTGGTAGCATAGTGGTTACGAATCGGGCTGCAAACCACAATGTTGGCAGTTCGAAACTAACAGCTGCTCCGTGGGAGAAAGATGAGGCTTTCTGCTCCCATAAAGATTTACAGCCTAGGAAACCCTGTACAGGGTTGCTATGGTTCGGAACCAACTGGACGGCACTTAACAACAACAAAGGCCACGGAGTCCTGGAGTGGAGCTGTGGGTTAATTCGGCAGACTGCATGCCATTTGAACTGCAAGGTTGGCCATTCAAGTTCACCACCTGCTCCTCGGAAACCCTATACAGGGTCGTACTCGACGACACTTAACAACAACAACAACAAAGGCCATGGAGTCCTGGTCTGGTGCTTTGGGTTAATGTACTGGACTGCAAGATCAGTTTGAACTGCAAGGTCGGCGGCTCAAGCTCTCAGCTGCTCCTCGCAGAAACCCTATACAGTGATACTGTGAGTCCTTGGAAGGAGTCCGAAGGATTCCACAGCACTTAACAACTACAAAGGCCATAGTTTACATTAAGGTTTACTCTTTGTATTGCAGGTTCTTTAAGTTTTGACAGATGCATATGAATCATTATAAAACCATGCAGAATAGTGTCACTAGCCTTAAGAAAATATGATCTTGCTGCATCATTTTGCACTCCCACAGAAGATGAGAGTTCCTGCTGCTCCAAATCCTCCCCATCATTTGGTTTTGCCAGTGTTTTGTTTTTAGCTATTATAATAATTAACTATGCAAAGGCATCTGACTGTGTGGGTCATGACAAACAATTTGGAAGTATTGCCTAAGGACATACCAATAAACAATCATCAGCTAAATATAAATCAACACCACAATGTCTCAAAAAAAAAAAACAAAAAACAAAAACCAGACTATTTCAGCTTACACAAAGAACTAAAGACAGAGTGCCTCAAACAAGTGACCAAGATACAGAATCAGAAAATATAACACCAGAAATGATATCAGAACTACCTGATAAGGAATTTTAAAAAAGAATGTTACTTAGGAATCCTTAGTGGCTTGAGAGAAAAAATGAAAACACTACAGGTGAAGTAAAGGAAAACATAGGAAAAAAAAAAACACAAAAAACTATGAAACAAATTGGGAAACAAATTGACAAAATAATTGATAACATGAGAATGATACAAAATCAGCAATGAGAAAGTCAGAAGATAACATTAAGACTTCAGAAATAGATAAGACACTGAAAAGGCAAAAAACCCAAAAATCAATGGAAAGTTGAATTACTGAGCTTGAAGAAAAATCTCTCAAAATTCACTTGCTAGAGGGACATTCAGAAAAAACAAAACAAAACAAAAATATGTGAAGAAAGTCTACGTTTATGTGGGACACTATCAAGAGGAATGATTTCCATGCGATAAGAATTCCAATACAGGAAGAAACCAAAAAACACTGTCCAACAGTTGTTGGAAGAAAACTTTCCTAACATCATGAAGGACAAGAAGATAGCCTTTCAAGAAGCTGAATGAACTCCAGACAGGATAGATCCCAAAAGAAAAACACCAAGATATACAATAATCAAACTTTTCAAACCCAAAGGTATAGGAAGAATCCTAACAGCAGCTCTGGAAAACTGAGAAGTTACCTACAAAGGAGGATTAAAGGCTAAACTCTGATTTCTCTGTAGAAACCATATGCAGGCACAAGACAATGGAATGATACATAAAACTCTGAAAGGAAAAAATTGCCAACCAAGAATCATGTATCCAGCAAAAGTGTTCATCAAATATGATGATGATATTAGGTCACTTTAAGACAAACAGAAATTAAAAGAATTCATAAAAACCAGACAAGCCTTACAAAAAAATACTAAAGGGAGTTCTCTGGACAGAGAATCGACAACAGCAGACAACAACCTGAGACTAACACACATGACAATATCACCTACACTTATCCCTGACTTAGAACTATGAAAAGAGAACCAGATATAGTTGCAACAACAACA